GAGGGAGTTGGATCTCCCTGCGGGTGCGGGGCTTAAGGCACCCACATCCTCCAACTGGGTTTGGTTACGTCCAGGGTTCCTGCCCATAAACTGACTGAGGTTCCACAGTCTTCAAAAGATTCAAACATACATCAAAAGGGTCAGAGTCCAAACATCAGGAGCCTGGGCTGAGAGGCTGCTGGGAGCTTTGGGACAGGTCTCTCAGAGCAGCTGGCTACGGACAACGGAAATGAAAACAAGGTCAGGTTCCTCAGTGTCCTCATTCTACTCTGGGGACTGGGCCCAGGAGTCGAGAGCCCTGTGCCACTTCCCTGAATCCCTTTCTTCTGGGCAGACACCACGAGTGAAAGGGCTGGTCCTCTGCTGGGGACCCCTACCATCTTGCCAGGGAAGCAGGAGAGGACGCAGAAGGCTGAGACATCACATTCTACAGACGCCCGAATCTGCTCCACAGTTCTGACCCCTCCTCTGCCTCTGCAGACAGGGCGCTGGGTCTCCCGCCGCCCGCCCCGTGGGCCCTGGCATCCCTTTTGGAATATTGCACTTTTTCTGTCTCTCAGATTGTTTTCATTTTCGATTGAGAATGCAAAGTATTTGGAGGGGGCTGGGGAAGTGAGCAACCCTAAAAAATAATATGTTAGTTAAATACAAAAACCAGGAAAAGTAGGCGTTATTTTATCTTTCCTTTTGCCCCTTGAAAACAAAACAAACTACCAAACCAAGGTCTAAACTTACATAGTTCTACTCCTACTCTGCAAGTACTAGTAATATGAAAATAATGCTTGGCCAAAACTCCTTGTCCCTTTTCCTTAGAGGATGAAAGCAGTAACATGCCTTGCTGAGGAAAGCGATGGGTATAAATGCCAGTAACATACGCTGCTCTAACATCTGAAAGTGATTACAATGATTCTATATAATGCCTTCGTCAGGATGGAGAGTCGAGGAAGAAAGGAACGTCTGGGGCCAGGCTGGGGTGGACAGGCTGAGGCCTGGCCACAGCCCCTGGACGGGGGACCCACAGCACGGACAGCACATCTGCTGCTCACGGTGCCCCAGGCCTGCGCCCCGGGGGAAGAGCAGCGAGGCCACACAGCCAGGCCTGCTGGGACAGACAGAGGCACAGTGCGAGAGAGGAAGATCTTTTTTTCCCGTGTCATCAAAGAAAAAGGTCCTTAAACTGAAAGAAGAACAAAGCACCAAATGATGCGTCTTCGGGCATTATATAAACCTCAATAATGACCTCAGAAGGGCTCATTATGATTAAAGTTGCAGTATACAGCAATACAATGTCATTTCACATTTTCAATCGCAACCAATGGAAAACTAGGTTTGGACACTGCTGAGATTTCATTCTTTTTTCCTTTAAGTCTGATCTGGTTTTCCTCCAGATGGGTCAGAGCCCAGGCCTCGCCCTCTTCCGCTGCTGCCAGCAGCCCCCTTGGAAGTCAGAAAGTAGCTCAGTAGCTCTAGGGAAAGGCGCTCTCGCCCTGGGTCGGGCTAGGAGTCCAGGGCGCGAGGCCTGGCACCCTCGGCCGAGTCTGAGAAGGACTTGCGTGCACCTTCTTGCTTCAAGTATTAACAACTTTGGGTCTGCAGGTGTGTGCCGTGCCCTGAGCGGGGCTGAAGGGGAGGGTGCGGTGCAGACAGGCACGGTGAGTCCCTGTTCGCTGCTCAAGTCTATGTGATGTCACCAGGTGGCAGCACTGTTTTTCCTGGATGCCTGAGCAGCTCCCAGCCACCCTTGGGCTGGACGTCCCAATGTAAACACGATGACCACGTGATAAACTGCAGGTGGGGGTGGGGTGAGGGCAGGAACACAGGATTAACGCAGCGGGCAGTGTGCCGTGAGCTAGCCGTGTGATTCTGGGAAAGTCATTTCTTGGCCTTGGGCTGCAGGAACAGAAAGGGATGGCACGGAATGGCCTCCCCGGTCCCTTGCAGTCCTGCTTTTCAATGACTCCACAGTTTCGGAGCACTGGGAATCTAGGAGAGGGGTCGGGGGGCTGTAGAGAGCCTGACGGGGGTGCACACGGTGGGGCGGGAGGGGTAGGCTCTGGGGAGCACTGCGGCTGGCCCTGCTGAGATGTCTGTGGCCGGCAGCCGCTGCACCCCTCCTGGTCGGGCTGGCGTGAACCGGCTCAGTGCAGGCATCCGAGGAGCGCGGCTGTGGGCCCTGCCCCTGGAAGACAGCTCTGCGGAAGGTCCTCTAACCCGACAGTCTCTCTACTTTTAAATTTTATTTTAAATAATCATAAATTACTTCTTTTTCTTTTAATAAATAATGTGCTGTTTAAAAATGAGAAAAGTATATACTGCATCTTTAAGTAATGCACTTTGCTCTCTGGGATGCTTTTCATTCCATCTCATTTAAAGTGCATTAATTAAAAAATAATGAACCACTTCTTTATCATTATTGTTCAAATAAGTACAAATAATATTAATATGAAGACACTAAACCACTACCATTAGTACTGCAATCTAGCAGATTAACTCAACATCCTGCTCTATTTAATACTGTCCAGCAGAAAAAAAAACAAAAACAAAAACTAATTTCAATTTTAAACTCATGAGCAAAACAAAAGGAAACCAAACAACCTCACCGTGGCCCTTTGACAAAGAACATCAGCGGTTTGCCGGGGCTGGGGGATCCCAGCAAGGCCTCTGGGATCTGGGGCAACTGAGACGCTGGGCCCGGCTCACCTGTCTGGAGAGGGACGGACAGCCTAGCCCAGCCGATCGATCGATGGGGCAGCTCTGGCGGCTGTTCTGAGGCCTGGTCTGCCCCAAACAAAGGCACGTGTGGAAATCCACTCCCAGCAGCAAGGGAGTCCATGGGAAGCCGCTGGGCTTCTTGCTGGAGGGTCCCCTCCGAACTGTCAACAACTGAAAAACACAACCCAGAGCCGACAGAGGACGTGCAGGGAACTCCATCCTCTGCTCTCGTCGCTGGGGCGCTGCCCCACGGGAAGACCGCACTGGCGCCTGGCACAGGGGTCCTCTGTCTTCTCTGTGGCATTGCCAGCAGGCCAAAGGTGGTGTCCATTCTGGTCCAACTCAGGGCCCAGGTGGGGTCCAGGATGGGGTCCACGGCCACTTCTCCACAGCTCCTCTGGAAGGCTTTCAGCCCTGCCCAGTGGGAGGGTGTACACGGAACGGTGCTCACGGCACCCTGGCAGCTGCCTTCTCTCCGGTGTCTGGCTTTGAATGACAGTCCTCCCTTCTGGGGAGTTTGTACTCCCCGCCCCTCTGTAGTTGGGCAGGAAGAAGGTTTTTGTCGCTGAGTATGGGGCTGGGACTTAGCCAGCCCCGGTCCCTCTGGTGAGTGCCGTACCCGGGCACCGTGCACACAGTGGAACCCAAATGAAGTGACTATGGCCTCTGGCAGGGGAAACACGTGAAACCAGAATCAAAACAAGCCCCTCCCACAGAATACAACAGAAAGCCTACCCCTACCCATGCACCCCGAACAACCCGAAAGTAAGCCCGAAACCAAAGGCCTGACTATAACCCCGAAGCAATAACCCTCTGGAAACATGCAAAGGAGCCCCCTGCTGAGAAAGGCCCTAACAGTCTGCAGCTGACAAAGAGCCTGCCGGGAACGCGTCCCCCATGGGGTGCCCGGAGAAGGGCAGGCTCCTTCTCAAGGCCAGAACAGGGACATCGAAGAAGGATGGCCCTTGCTGGCACTTTGGAACCACTTTTTCCTCAACTACAAGACAGCGACAGCGGCCTGGCCCAGGGGCACAGGAGCTCACACAAGACACCTCTAAGCCCCAGGACCAGCCGTGTTGTCATACACACACCTCCACCCCCAAGGGCAGCGGCCATCCCTGGGAACCTTGAACAATTCACAAATACAGATTAGGACAGTACGCGGGCCACCTGCAGGGCAAGATGCCTGCCCGTAAGAGCCAAGCAGGGCAGGACCCTGGAGGCCCCACCACCACATCTCTTGCAGGTCTGCAGCAAAGGCACGACTGGGGTTTCCACACGGCCTGTCCCCACATGGCACGGTCCATCAGCAAAGCCACCATGGTGCATGCTGGGCCCCGGGCCCCGGCTCCCCTGCCACTCCCTTTCCCGCTCATCCCCTCCCTTCTAGCTGGGGAGTGGCAAGGGAGGTCACACTTTCTGCAGGGTTCCACGCGGTCCTTCCCTCCTGTCCACACGTCACTGCTCATCCAGCGGCAGCTACAGCGCCACACTGTGGCTGGAGGGACCCTAGGGCCTCCGCTAGTTTTTCTTTTCAAGGTAGTTGGAGGGCACCCAGCCCTTGAAGGGTTTCACCTCATCCAGGATCTGGCAGTACCACCAGCCATTGGGGTTCCTCTCCAGCACCTCCATGGACACCCCCTCCTGGAAGCCCGCTGTCTCCTCGTCCCCCTCGTAGTCCGCGATAGACACATACACATCTTTGAGGTTATTGTGGATGAACTGGGATTTCTCAATGGGCTTGGGGCGCACGGGGGACACAGGGATGCAGTTACGCTGGGTGGGCAGCAAGGGCGAGTCCGACCCTTGGCTGGCAGCGCGCTCAGCCAGGCGGCCCTTGGCATCGGCGGCGGCCGAGCGCGCGGCGCTGAAGGAGGAGTTCCTGCGGACGCCCCGGAGGCCGTCAGTGGCTGTGAGGGACTCGTTTCTCCGCAGGGCGCAGGACAGGTTGTTGTCTTTGGGCGGTGGAGACACAAACACGGACTGGGGCCTGACGGCCACCTGCCGCACACCGTTCCTCATCTTTACCGCTGCGGCGCCCGAGGGCTTGCCGAAGCCCCCAGGCGGCTTGGAGGGGACGGGCGGTGTGGCCCTCTTGCTCTGGTTGACCGTGTTGAGCGCCTGCACGCGCCGCTCGACCTTTTCCAGGCTGTCAGACTTGCCCTCGCTCTGCCTGCCCCTCAGCACGTCCGGCTCTGCGCTACAGGGCTCGGGCTGCTCCTGCTGCTCCGGCACCAGGTAGTGGGAGGGGGCCCAGCCCTCCAGCTCCCCGAACCGGACGTACCACCACCCACTCTCCAGCTTCTCCAGCACCTGGACCTCGGCGCCCGCGGGGAAGCTGATCTCCGAGTCCTGCACCTTCTGGTAGGCGCTGCAGGTCACGTAGGCAGTGGCCGGCCCTTCCCCCTCCTTCCTGGGGGGACACGGCGGAGTGGCAGTGAAGGTGATGACGTCGGCCGAGCCTCTCCTGGACCCCTCACTGGGCCCCTCGGACGCTGTCTGGGGAGGCGGCTCTGAGTCCTCGCTCCTTGAGCCCTTCAGGCCCCCCCGGAGCTGGCCCGTGGGTCTCAGCTGGCGCCGTAACGTGCTGATGTCCATCTTCTCTGGGCTCTGAGACTCTGCGCGGCTCAGCAACGGCTTGGGCCGGAGGGACGGCTTGGCCCGCGTGCAGGAGGCCGCCCCAGCCTTCACCTCAGCATCTTTCTTGGCCCCGGCCTTGGGCGTGCCACGGATGCCTGCGTCCGAGGCGGAGCGGGGCTTCAGGTCTCCACTGTTCTTGGACAGGGAGGAGGAAGAGGAGGAGGAGGATGAGGAGCAAGTGGTGTTGATGGTGACGGACGAGGAAAAGGAGGCCGAGGAGCGGTTCTTCCCCAGCTCTGCCTGGGCGTTCTTCTCGGCCTTGAGCTTCAACAGTGAGGGTGACTTCGGGGAGCCTGACTTCGGGGAGTTCTTCCTGGCAAGGGACAGGGAGGAGCCCCCAGGGGAGTCACTGTCCCCGGAGGAGCCTCTGGCCGACAGGGCGTCCTCTGCATATGGCTGGAAGCCCTCGTTCTCATAAATCGTCTCCTCCTCCAGGGCCACATCCTCTGAGGACTCGCCCACCTTGAAGCGCGCCCGCTGCAGGGAGGAGGCGGGCGAGGGCCTGCGGGGCTGGGCGGGCCGCCTGTCCCCCGAGCCCTTGTCCTCTGCCGGCTCCTCGCTCAGCTCTGGCTCTGAGTCGAAGCCAAAGGCGGGGATGTCATACTCCGGCTCTTCGTATCTGAGCTTCAGGGGGGACTCCTGGCTGTCGCTGGCACCCGCAGGGGCCTCCTCGGGCTCCTTGGGCTTGCTGGGCGGCGCCGGTGGGGGCACCTTGGGCCGGGTCAGCGTGCTCGTGCGGCGGTTCAGGTTGGGCTTCTTGCGCTTGTCGATGTACGAGGCGGGAGCCCAGCCCTCCTTCTCACCGATCTGCACATACCACCAGCCGCCTGAGTTCTTGTCGATGACCTGGGGAAGAGGCAGGTGGGCAGTGAGCCGGGGAATCTTGGGGCCCCTGCAGGCTCAGATGAGGAGCGTCACACGCTGGCTGGAGGCTACCTCATCTCCGCTTCATGGATGAGCAATCAGTACTTGGGCAAGTAGCTCAAGACCCATTGTAGTGAACAACACAGCAGAATGCAAGCCCAGGTCTATAGAATCTCTTTTTTTTTGGTACCGGGGATTGAACTCAGGCCCTTGTGCTTGCCAGGCAGGCGCTTATGCTGCTGAGCTATACCTCCGGCCCTGTAGCATCTTTTGGGTGGAGGCTCTCACTCTCCGAGTCCCTTTCCCTGATTCTCTAAGCCTGTCAACACTGGTCCAGCAGACCCCCTACTTCCCCTAAGCTGGCGCTGTGCCCAGCCCTAGCAACTCCCAACTCACGCCAACCCAGATCCTCTCTGAAATCCCTCGGAAGGTTCTCTCAGGTGAGCATGGAAGATGTAGAGATGTAGAAGAGGTGGTTTTTTTTTTTTGTTGTTTGTTTGTTTTTGTCTTTTTGAACAAGGTTTCGCTATGCCGTTCAGTCTGGCCTTGCACTCCAGCGATCCTCCTGCCTCAGCCTCCTGAGTGCTGGGATTATACATGTACACCCCTATGCCCGGAAAGATGCAGATTAATCAAATGGGGAGGTATGGTCCTGAGGCCCAGGCCTCCAGGCACAGCATCTCCCCGACATCCAGTGCCTGTGGGTATTTCCCTGTCTGAGGAAATGAAACCTCATTAGCTGAAGAGACTGCTTTGGGTTGAATGGTTTCCTACAGAGTGAGGGGCTTTCGGCCATTCTTATGTAGTGCAAACTCATTTAAGGAGCTTTCTCCTTGACTTCTACCTGGGATGGGCTAATGGCCAGGAGTGTGGCCGCTGGCAGTACAGGGCTCGTCTGGACTGTGGAGCATCTAGGAAGGTAGGTCGGGGCCGTGGGGCATTCCGGGGGGACAGTCCCAGGGAGAACCCACGGGAAGGGCAAGGAGACACTGCTACCACAGCGTGAGGCTCGAGGAGGGGCGGGAGGGTGGGAAAGCCAGCTCTTCCTCAGACATGTCCTCCTGCCTGTGGTCCTCCGTCCACCCTTCATCCTGGGCCACCTTGTACCCAATACCCAGGCTCAGGCAAGTCCGAAGTATGAAGCCTTCAGGCTTTCCAGAAACCTAAGTCTCGTGGAGGAAATTTAGCTCCAAGTTCCAGACATGAGGTCAGAAATGCTGGCGCTGGGGATGCTCCCTCCTCAGCGGGCAGAGGATGCTAGTGAACCCGACAGTGTCATGGGTTTTACTTGGACTTAACTCTGTGACTACATAAAGCCACTCAAGAAAAACGACTGAGTCACAGATCTCTTTTCTCCCCTGTGCTCCATACAGGCCACAAAATACAGCGGTGTCCCCTTGTCCAAGGTTTGCTTTCTGTGACTTCCTAATTTACAAGTCAGACTTCGTCACAGGTATACAAGTATAGAAAAAAGCTCCGGTAGGGCTGGGCACTACCTGTGGTTCCAGGCATCCCCTGGGGTCTGGGACGGTCTCCCCCGTGGATAAGGAGGGGTGAGTGAAGAGCTGCATAAATGCTAGAAGGCCAGTTAGGAGGGCACCGAGAGCCTCCTACCTGCTTTGCAAAGAGATACTCAGCCTGTGAGGGAGAAGTGACATCAGAGCCAGGGGTCCTGTGGTGAGGACGAGGACAGTGCTAGGTTCCCACTGTGCTGCACCTGCCTGGCTCTTCTCCCGGCAACAGCACTTCCGGGTGTGGAATCTGCAGGGCCCTGGCCCTGAGCAGCTCTGAGAGAAGAGGCTCTGGGGCTATACACGCCCGAATCAAGGCTGCTACATCAGTGCTTTGCTGGATGCCACCCCTATGCTAAGCTCTGAGAAGCTCTGCAATCAAAGCAATGAAACCCACTGTAGCCTGGCATGGCGGCACAGGCCTGTAACTCCAGCACTCTGGAAGGCTGGGGCAGGGGGCAGGAGGATCATAGGTTAGAGCCCGGCTTGGGCAGTTCAAAGACTTAGCAACACCCTGTCTCAAGAAAAAAAACAAAAAAACAAAAAACAAAACACGGCTGTGACTATAGGTCAGTGTGAAGTCCCCAGAATGTACAATCCCCAGAAATGTACAACCACCACCCACTGTGGCCCGAGCTTGTACCCCACAGCACCCCTTTGTTCCCGGGCACCTCTTACTGCCCGTGGCGCTTGCTAGTGTTCAGCAAATATCTGTAGCTGTGTGGCTGGCTTTGGTGCCACTCCTGCCTGCCCCCCTCCCCACCCCCGCCCCAAACCTTGCTGTTAAGACCTAAACCAGAGTAGCACGCCCTTGGACACAGTGCAGCAGACGGCCCTCAGCCCAAGGCTTACCTCTGCCTTCTGTCCGCCCCGGAAACTGATCCCGTCAGAGATGCAAGACTGGAACTCGGCGATGGTGTAGTACTCCACCTCAACGGAAGGGGGCTCTGGCGGCTTGGGCAGCTGGAAGCCCTACAGCGGGAAGAGAGCAAGGTGAGCAAAGCCAGCTGATCCGGCCGGTAACAAGGCCAAGGGCGGCCGCCCACTTGGCCCCGTGGTGTGCGCGTGGTCATCCACACCAGCTAGACGGCAGCTGGCCCAGCAGGCCTCTGTCGCGTGAGTTTCAGGGTCCACCCCAAGAGGCTGCCCTTCTGGGGAGGCCTGGCGTGAGCTACGGGAATACTCGTGTTCACAGGCGCATTTCTACCCTCTTAGGCGCAGAGGGGGCAGTGGGGTTGGACGAGAAAGCTTTGGCTGTGCCCTGCAGTGCCAAGTAGACAGGCAAGCCCTGGACAGAATTCTGGATCCCTCGTCCCCGCGGGCAGGTAGAACACACCGAGGTCCTAAATCGCTTTGCTTTTTGGAAATAAGCACAGCAAATCCCACGCATTGTATTCAAGGATGCTTAGGATTTGGTTTCAGCTGGGGCGTGGTGGTGCACGCCTGTAATCCCAGCATTCGAAGGCTGAGGCCAGAAGATCGCTCTGAGTTTGAGGCCAGCCTGGGCTGCACAGTGAGTTCAAGGCCAGCCTGAACTGCACAGAGAGACCCTGTCTCTAAATAAACAAACAAATAAATAAATTTATTTTTTAAAAAAGGATTTGGCCTCAGCCCCTGATCTATGCGCCGTATTCATTTGTTTCATGACTGTTTGCTATGCATATACTGTGTGCCACATGCTGGTCTGAGGCCCCTGGCATCCAGCAGTGAACCAAGCTGAACAGTAGTCCTGGTGGGCTGTAGCTTCCCCAGGCCTGCACTCTGGCTCAGATGGGCTCTGTGTCCCCCTCTTTACCTCCTGTCTCACACCCGAGGGGTGAAAACCCAGGGAACTGAAGAAAAACAAAGGAGGGACGGGGAGAAACAGCCATGCTACGGCAGGAAGACCCAGAAGGCCCTTCTGGGTTCCAGTCCCAGCACTTCACCAGCCATGTAGCCCTGGGCCCCTGACCTCTCTGGGCCTCAGTTTCCTCATCTGTGAAATGAAACTAGTATCAGGGCCATTAGGAGGATTGCTCAGATAATGTACACAATTTCTGGCCCAGCAAGGGGCATTAAGAAGAGGTCAACAAGCAGAAGCCAAAGGTCAGCTTCCCCCAAACCTTCTCTTCTGAAGGCCTCCCATCCTCCAAGGCTCGGCACGTCGTAATTCTACCAGTCAAAACTGAACTGGCCTGGGTCTGAGTGAGGGGCGGGAGGAAGCCAGTTTCAAGGCACTGGGTACGAAGCAGCCCACTTGCCCCGCCCTGGGGCCTGGCTCTGCAGCCCTGCACGGGACTCACGGGCATCCGTGGAAACAGCAGCCTGCCTGGGCAGTCCTGGTCAGTGTGGAAGGAGGAGCCTTTTTGGCCCAAATCAAGTCTGCCTGAGAAAAATCAGCCAGAGCTAAAAGAGATGGGCAGGAAGAACTCATTATTCCCAAAGGGAAAAGAGAGAAACTACAGTGGGACTGATGACCGGGGCAAGGAAGGTTTGGAATCTAAACCAGGGGTGAAATCCTCAAAGCCCTCTCTGTACAGAGGGTTGCCTCTTCCACGGACCGCTGCTACCCCTTCTTCAGGGCAGTTATCACTGGTCGCTGCAGTGCACTGCTAAGCCCATTGTGTACATTATCCCAACAGTCGAGAGTCAACCCAGGGAACAGAGACCTGCCTGCCGGTCCTATGCATGTATTAGCGCATCTCATTTCTACGGCAGCCCTAGGAGGTAGCTACAGCTGTCTCCACCTTATAGACAGGAGGTTGAGGCCTGTGCAGGGTAAGTGACTTTTAAGTTCTCTCCGCACCTCAGAGTCAGAAGGGGAATGTGAATCTATGCCGCGCAGGTTCGAAGCTCTGACCCTCCCCTGCATCTTGTGCCTCTGATGACAGTCCTCGGTCCCAGGACTCAGCTTATCACCAGCATGCTGCCCCCTTGAGCCTGCACTCTGATTGCACACCTGCCTGCCGGAGACCCTGGTCACCAGGAAATGCCACCCACAAGACTCAGGGAGCCCAGGAGCATTAGCTCTCTTACAGCTTTGGTGTGAGCCATCCTTACAGTTCACCCCTTTCCCTGGAGCACGCTCCCTGGTCTGCCTCTCCCTCCCCGGCTCTGGCCGGGCGTCTACCCCATCCACCAGGCATTCCTGAGCAAGCAGGGCAGAATGGCTTCCAGGCCACATGGACAGCAGGCCTCTTTCCAGCTGCTGGCAATGCCTGCTGGACACTCTGGCCGGCCAGTGCAGATGTTTATGCCTGCCAGTGCAGCGGCTGTGATGGATTTGTTTAGCTTTGGAGTGCAGTGCATTTCCGATTATAAACCGTGCATCCAGGCTCCCAGAAAGGCGCAGATCTGCCAGCTTCCCTCTCTGCCCCCAGTCCCACAAAGCCGGAAGCCTCTGGGCCAACTGCTCTGTGGGAAGGCAGCCAGTGATCGGGGCTGCTGCAGCGCATCCCCAGGAGGACAGGAGAAGGCATGCACGACACATACCAGGCTTGATTCTCTTCGAGGTGGAGGTCTTGTCCTTAAGTTCGGGGAGTCTGGAAGAGACACGGCTTCATAAATCCCAGTCCGACAACGAGCAACGGGACCTGCACCTGCCTTTCCTAGGTGGCACCCATGACGAACCCGATGCCCTCACTCCCTGTGGGCGAGGGGCAACACAGGCCTTTACAGCTTCCCTGGCTGTGTTTCGGGGCGTCCGTGAATCCCGTTATGTGCACAGTGAAGTACAGACACTATGGGCACTGTTCGAGGTACAGCTACACAGGTTTATCCGATTTTCCAAGTTAGGAGCAGACGGCATTTCCCACTCACTCCTAAGTCCCCAGGAACCAGCACAAAGCCCAGCAGAAGGGGTGCCTGGTGAAGATCTTCCGACTGGCTGCCTAAAAGGTTTCAGGCAGGACAGCCAACTTAACTAAGTTCAAGGCTGAATTACAAAAAGAACTTCCTTCCAGATTGCAAGAATGGGAGGGCACAACCCAAAGCAGGAACCCAATACAGACAGTTTAACCCTCAAGCAAAGGCACTGCTGGTCCAGAGGGTGGAGGTGCCAGAGAGCCCAGATCTAAAGTCCCTGGAGAGGGGCTGGGGATTTAGCTCAGTGGCACAGCGCCTGCCTGGCAAGCGCAAGGTTGTGAGTTCGGTTCCTGGTACTGGAACCACCCCCCAGGCAAAAAAAAAAAAGTCCTTGGAGAAAGCCCTGTGAAACTGCTTCTAATTTCTGGTCTCTCAGGCTCCAAAAACTGCTGCAAAGTGAGAGGAAGAGAGGCTAGAGCCCAGAAGATGTTCCTCTACATCTTTGCTCACCATGGCATAGGACCTCCCACTTCATAATCCAGAAGAACATATATTCTATTTTTGTAAAAATCAACTATATGCCATCATAGATATTTAAGGCCTCTACTAGAGAGAAAGAAAATGCTTCTTGCTCTTGGCATACGTCCCTTTGCCAAGTGGCTACCGCAGCTCTCACCTAGAGAAGGACACTGGCAGCCTAGCCACCATGCAGCTCATCAGAGGAGCAGCTGCGGGGACCAGGCCATCACAGCCCCCCGCTTCTCTGCCCTTGTGACAAGCTGGTAGCGTGAGGGGCAAGGTGGGCCTGGAGCTCAAAGAGGAAGCATGGTGGGATCCCCCATGCCCTTCTGGCTTTTCTTACACCCGTGCCCACCCTGTAAGAGCACCCAGAGGCCGGCCAGGGGCTTACTGATCTGGGCCCTCTGCGGGGCGATCCTGGCCACGGCCGGGGAGCCCTGGGCCAGCTTGGAGACGGTCCTCTCTGGGACACCCAAGGCACTGCCATTGGAGGCGTTGCAGAGAATGGGCAGGCTGATCTCCTTCTTAGCAACGGGGGCCTCGGAGGCCTCGCTTTCCGTGGGCAGCGTCTCCTTGTCCCCAGATGCCTTCTTATTCAGCAGGTTGCTGATCTCCATGATGTTCCCAATGATCTCTACTGGGCCCGTGAGGTTCTTCTTCCGGGTTGGCAGGTCATCCTTGGCTTTCTTTAGGTAGGACGCTGGCGCCCAGCCCTCCTTGCCCAGGTATCTGCGGGAAGGAGTGGGTCACACCAACATTAGAGGTCTGATGCTTGACTCTACTCTCTACGCCTAGGCCCAGGTCTCCATCGGGCCCCACCCAGCCAAGCTTTCTGTAAAACGCTTTGTGGGAGACTGGGCACTCCATCGCGGGGGGACTCTAGAGAGAAGAAATGAGATGGCGTGATGTGGTATAGCAGTGATGGCAAAGCTTTTCAAGGCTTCACTGGTAACAGCCAGGTGGGGCACACGTGCCATGTTTGCCATCACAACTCCATAGCAAAGAGAAAAGTTAGAGAGGAGAGATGTCACAGGTAAAAGTTTTACTCTGTGGTCCTTGGACAAGTTCCTTCACTGGAGCTCAACTTTTTCTTTTCTGCAAGACCAAGGGTAGAGTAGCTGCTAAGGTGTCCAGGAGGACAGACACAGGGAGAACACCTAGGATGATGGGTGTGGAAAAGCCTGACAGGCCGGTGAGGGTGTTGGTATTACTGCAGGAGGTGGGTTACAGTTACAGAGTTAAGTCCACAAAGAGGCTTCCCTTTAGGGAACATTTGAAGCTGATGCGTCAAGGACAGATTATTCAATAGGTGATCTGAGGACACCTGATTATCCAGTTACAAAAAATACGGAGGCCTGACCTCACACCATACAGTAAAATTTTAAAACAAGGAGTTGTAAATGTTAATCTTGGGGGTTGAGAAAGCTGTTCTAAGTGGTACTTAAAAGCAGAAACGGGGGGCGGGGGCCAGGGATATAGCTCCGCAGTGTGGTACCTGGCAAGCGCAAGGTCCTAAGTTTGATTCCCGGTGCCCTCCCCCGCCCAAAAAAAGCAGAAACCATAAATGACAAGATAAAAGCATGTAACGAGGTGAAATGAAAACCACTGGTATAGCAAAACAAAAACAAAACAAAATGAAACAAAACTAAAAGCTCATGAACAAAAGCAAAAGCAAATGATAGGGCTGATTTACTTCTGGGGGACTTGGTGACTCTTGTAAAACAAGCTTCCCTCCTTTCCTCCATGGTGTTGAGCTTTCATGCAAACCCACTGGAGCTCACCTCCGGATCCAGCAATTGGTGGCCAATGTCCCCAAGTCTGGCTTGTAATGTCCCCATCTGCACTCTGGGACACATCTGGGTCTTTGGAATGATTCTTCCAGGCCAGATGTCTGACGACTTCCCCTCTCCCCACAGTGACCTAGTTCTTTGGAAGCCTGTTCGGTTCGGGAACAGGACCTGAAGCCGGAGTTCCTACGACCAGTCTGAGTTTTGCCGGGAAGCTCGAGTAGGAAATGACTCATGACAGCCGTGTCACAGGCACATGCGGTCAGCCCAGGCTCACCGGTCTGGACGCAGCAGGCAAACGTCAGTGAACTCAGGGATGGAAGCTGGGGTTGGGACTGTAGGAAGCCCTCCCTGGACCTCGTCACGGTCGGTGGAGTTCATATTCGTGATCCCAGGGCAAAGTTACTGGAATTCCAGTACATTAATTCCAATCTACCACATCCAGTGCAACCCATGGCGAGAACAAAGACACTAAGGTGTATTTGTAGTTGCGGGAAGCCAAGGGGGTCCTACTTCCAGTCAGAACAATGGCTAACCGAACAAAGGCTTTGACCCAGGGCAGAACCCGGGATTTATTGATTCATGTAGAAGGAAGTGACTCAGGGATGACTGACTGAGAGAAAGGCGGGAAGTAGGTGAGTGGTGTGAGCTGGGCTAGGTAGGCGGCCTGATAGCACCTCTGTAATATGCAGAGAGAAGGATCTGCAGAAACAGTAATCTGCATGTCACAGATGGAGCAAGTACCTTGTGTTTCGGGGCCAGTGCTTCAGCCCTGATGCGTAATCTTCATGCCATGGGACTCCACAGAGCGACAGACTCTTCCTTGAGCCTCAGTCTCAGCACAGTGCAGTGTCACTCGGCTCACACATACTACTCGGGAGCTCTAGGGGGCATCACTGACCTGTCGCATTGCTTTAAAGACTACACATGGGCACCTTGGCTAGACCCATTCGCACTGCTGAAAGACAACTGAAGGGATAAAGAAATATCCTAGCCAGCTCTGTAGGTATTAGTGCACAGAAGTAGGGACGAAGGCTCTTCTTTCAAGGAGAGCCATCCAGGTGTGGCTCCTGACAGTTCCCGCATGTACCAGGTACAAACAGAGGCACAGAGTTGCAGGGATGGATGGAAGCAACTAGTGTCCAACATTGGCATGGTAGTGCACACCTGTAATCCCCGCACTTAGGAGGCTGAAGCAGGAGAATCGTGAGTTTGAAGCCAGCCTGAGTTACACGCGCTTTCAAGAAAAAAAAAAAAAAAAAAGCAGCAGCAACTAGTATCTACCCTTTCTCTCAGACAATAGCCAAGGCTTGGAAGAGCAAAGCAAGTAGCAGAGGGGCTCACAGCGGGTGTGGCAGCACCCGGCCCACAGTGCACTGCCTTTGAATCTTGGGGAAAGACGAAGACAACTGCTTTGGCCCTTGCTGATGACCTTCTAGGTGAATATTGTGTAGCTCTGGGGAGAGGGCCGCGGGGTGATGGTGAGGCTGCTTATAGCCTCCAATGCAGTTATTTCGCAGCCCTCTGTGTTCCTTCATGTTGCATGGTCAAAGCCTGGCTGCGGGCAGAGAAGCGTGGGGCAGCAGGAGCGACCGTGTGCGCCTGGGTTCAACTCCTGTAGCTGCAGCCCAGGCTGGTGGTGGTGGGGGTGTCAGGCTGGAGGGCTCTGCGTTTGAGTGCACATGTGCGTGTCCAGGGGTGGGAGAGGAGCACAAAGACAAGAAATGAAGATCCACCAAGGGCCCGGCATGCTGGGAAGTGGCACAGTTCAGGGGTGTCTGGCAGCCTTCTTAAGGTGGAACTGTGTCAGCAGGGTTTCCTCAGTTTATGCTCCTGCGGGCTAGACGACTGGGCCTTGGGGACAAGAACTGACTTGAAGCAGCTCAGGCTGCTTTGGTTAGTTGTTTTAGAAAGCTAAACACTGAAATGAAATAGAACAGCAATCAGCCTTCTGGATGACTGCCAGGTGGATGAATGAGGCCACCAGCCTGCAGGACGCTTGCCGGCCTCTGTCTCAGAGTGTGGCTGCTGGACTTTGGTTTGGCCCCAGTTTCTGTTGCTTAGAGAACATGGAAGTCTAGGGGCAGTGGCTCTGGGCAACACGTGCAGGTGTGCAGTCCCACCCTAATGGGACAGAAAGGGACACCCCAGTTCTGACTGGCAGACACCAGGCAAGGGGGATTCTGAGCTGTGCCCCATCAGGTCACACTGGGGCCCAGCTTCCAAGTGGCCAAGGGCCTCATCCTGTCCCTCAGCACAGACTCGTCTTTCCACCATGCTCAGAACAACTGTCCCCCAAGTACTTGTGTCAGTGTGGTTGGGGAGGTGCCACAGCCCAAGCTTGCCCTCTGAAGAGACCGCTCGGAACACACATCCTGTTCGCAGTGGGTACGGCACTGCCTGCTGTGGTGCTCTGAGGCGGGGGTCCCCAGGGCCCACCCATAGAGGACTGTCTCCCTGAGCCGGGTAGCAGGTCGAGGAGAGAGGCCAGGTAGAGTCCCCGCAGAGGAGCAGCTCCAGAGGAACCAGAAGCATCGCCTGGAAGCAGGTGTGCTGCGAGGCGAGTCTCAGTCCAGCGACAGGGAGTGAAGCCCACAAGGCTTCTGTTACCCGCAGAAGGTCAGGAAAGCCTCACACTCCAGTGTGATAAGGCCCTGTGCGTGGAAGGGGCAGGGGCACGGGCAGGACCTCTGGCGCCCTGAGCTGGACTTGGCTCAGGCCTTACAATCAGCTTGGCAGTGGAACAGCCCCCCCCCAGGAACATGAGCTGCAGAGGCCCACTTCAGGATCCTGAGTGCTGAGCTGTGGGCAGCAAGGCCTGCAGATGCCACTACTCCAGGCCCCAACTGTGGTGCACGCCAGGCAGCCAAGGCTGGAGGCAGAAAAGCAAGTTTAGATATTCGGAACTTTGGCAGCTGCCAGGAAGGGATCGCACCACTGCCTGCGAGCAGAGCTGAGGCCTGTGCTGGGCAAGCTGAGCGCAGGCTTTGGTTTTCCAGTCCAGAGAACTCAGCGTGAGGGAGCTCCCCCTGGCTGAGCTTCGCTGTGCAGAGCTGGGGCGCAGCTCTCATTGGCAACTACCTGCCATCAGGCGGTGGCCAGGGCTCTTACCTGATGTACCACCAGCCCTCCAGGTTCTTCCGGATCACCTCCACAGTGACGCCCTTCTCAAAGCCAATCTCGTCCTTGCTTTGGCTGGTGTAGGGCTGCACAGTGATGTACTTTTCTTCTGGTGGTGGTGGGGAGCAAGAAAGCAAGATTACTTGAGGTTGGGGTGCAGGCCCTGCTTCCCGTCCTTGTTGGCCTTTCTCAGCTGCTTGCTAAGGAGCCCTAGGTCAGTCTGCTTCTCCAGGGAAGGAAAACACCAGGCATCAGGCGTGGCAGCAAAAAGGTCGTGAGGTCGGAGATCACGGCTGCTCCTGGTGTGTCAGACCCAGTCAGGACCCCAGGCTGCCTGGCAAAGCTTTGGACAGCACGAAGTCAACTCTCCCCACCAGGCTGCCAGGGCCTAGGATCCAGGAGGGGTTAGTCCGAGCCAGGAAGTCTGAGACCCGTTCTGGGCATCGCCTGAATGCCTTAGGGCACCCCGTGGCCCTCTTCTGCAGGTGCTGGGCGTCCCTCTGCCCCTCACGCACTCTCCTAGCTCTGCTCCCACATCAACCCCTCAGATTCTTCCTTGCTCTGACTTTCCCATGGCTGCTGGGGAGCCTTCCTGCCCCTAATAACGGCACATTATTTCCCAAAGGGGTCCCACAAAAACACCAGTTCAGCAGGAGTGGTGAAGATAAAGTTCTCATGGCCAAACCTGTGTGTGAAACTGCCTCGTGCCCCCACCCCACCCCCGCAGGCGGACTCCAGCAGGCGGCCAGGGCACATGCCCCCACAGCTGCTGGAGTTGCATGTGCTCAGACGGCTGCCAGCTGGTGCTGGGCGTCCTGGAGAGCCACCTGTGCTGCTCTGGTGGGTGTGGCTTTTTATTTGTTTTAAATATTGGGGAGTGAACCCAGGGCCTCGTGCATACTAGGCAAATGCCCTACCACTAATTGTACCCCGACCTTTTTAATTTTGGGACAGGGTTTTACTGCATTGTGACTTTAGGATCCTGTTGGAAGTCTTCCCAAGGCACAGGGAACAGGGCACCTCAGGAAGAGCGTGGGAGGGCAGGCATGGGAAGCTGGGGTACGGGGCACCTCCTTGGCTTCCTGCAGCTCCTTCCTGCACCTCTGCTCAGGCTGCCATGTCTACTGGGGTCCTCTTCTGTCCTGGGGAAGCCCAGGGAGTACAGACCCATACCTGGCCAGTGAAGCACGCCCTGCCTGTTGGGTGACTGCTCAGAGGGCCGCTCAGGGCCCGGGAGGAGCACGGTCCCCACCCACCCCTTGGGGAGAACAGGGATGCAGAGACAGAGAAGAAAGAACTGCCAATCTGGGAACGCCCCTGGGGTGCTCCTAGGAGCCTGAAGCAGTGCGGGGAAGAGAGGAGCAGTGGCTGTGGATGGCATCAGGAAGAGGGAGGCACGGCTGGGGAGGGCTGAGGGAGCACTGAGCCTGGAAGCTCCTTGGAGCTGCCTGCCCCTCCCGGCTCCCAGCGGACAATCACCCCAGCTCCTGCCGGGTGGGCGTCTGTCTACTTACTCTCCCCTGGATTACTGAGGGACGCAGCTCACTTTGGGTGGAGGCGGCTGTCCTGCCCAACTTCAGGACAGAACTGATGGGCCCACGGCCCCATCTGAAACGCTGCCAAAAAGCAAAGGGTGGGCGAGGACAGCGAGGGTCCTATTCCTCAGCACACTCTCCCACACACAGGCCTTTCTCGGCACGGCCTGGGGGCTCCTCCTGGGGGCTCCTCCTGGGGCCTTCAGATTCCACTGCAGTCCTGCCCAGGACAGCTGCCAAGCTGCCTGAGAACCCTGCCCAGCCAGATTCTGACTTGGTCTTGGAGAGGTTCTGTCCTCTTCCTGGCCAGCCCCCCGTGCTCCTGCCCACTCCTGGTCCAGCTCCATTTTCCAGTGGGGCACGGTAAAGCCTGGCCCGCGCGGCAGCCAGAGGGGCAGTGCCAGGCCTGGGGAAGCCAGGGCCTGTGGTCTACATTTTGCCTTTGTTCAGCGGGGCTATTTTTAAAAGCCTGTGGTTCAAGCAGGAAGCCATCATTACAGTTTTCCTAGGCAAGGTCGCTTTTGCAGAGGAAAATGACAGCCCTCCTTGGGGGAAGATCAGAGGGGCCCTGTCCCACAGCCCAGAACAGCGCCTGGACCATCCTGCGTGGGCACAGACAGGCGTGGCCACAAGAGACCTCGGGGGGCATGCGAGGGACAGAGTCCCACCAGCCATGGGCCTTCAGCTTGTGCTGACCTCTGGGGTGGCATGGATAGACCCATGGACACTGGTTCTGGCCAGAAAAGCTGAACCACTCCTGCCAAAGGCCCCATTCCTGGGGGATCTGAGGCTGTGGCAATCACACTCCCCGGAGGTTTCTGGGACACTGGTAAGAGCGCTGTCCTGCCCCGCTCGCTGTGGGGGTTCCAGGGAAGGGGAATTCAGGGCCCCAGCCCTGGCACAGCTGGGTAGCCAGATCAGCGCTTTCCACTTGCCTTTTGGGGCACTCAGTTCTCTGCTCTGACTGGCTCTGATGGCAGGGGTGTGGACCCGGCCACATGGGTTTCACGCCTCCCAGCTCACGGGTGAGCCGAGGGATGAGCAGAGACAGACCCTCCACTGGCCCTGGGCCACAGACCCCATGGTGGGGTTTGGGGGAGGTCCAGACAAGAAAATGCCCAGGTGGAAGGGGCTCCATGGCGGCTGAGTCATCCAGGTGGGCCAGGGCCTCAGGACGCAGGGGGAGGGAAGGGAGCCCTGAACTCAGGCCTCTCGGGCTTCTGGGAAGCACTGGGGCCTGAGCACCCTGCCCGCCCGGTGAGGGCCGTCCAGGCAGCTGTGGGCTGGGTGGGGGGCGGGCAGCCTGGTCTGGCCTCCAAACCACAGCACCTCCTCTTTCCAAACTCTTTCCCCTCTGTCAGCAGTCTCTCTGCTCCCTTCCTGGCCCCCACAACTCACCCTCCCCAGAGACAGACAGACAGACAGAGACAGACAGAGGCCATGTGACTGCAAAGGCCTGGGCGGCTGAGGGGCCGGGGGGCTAGGGGACTGGAGTGGAGGCCCCAGCAAGCACTGCCTGCCCTTGTCCAGCCACTCGGTGACCTGCCGCCCACTCCCCCAGGTCTGCGGTCCGCAGCGCGGTGCCTCAGCCGGCTCTCCGCATGCCATTCCTGGCTGTCCAACTTCACACAGCCCCTAGGGCCAAGGCTGGGAAACTGCTATCCAGGTCTCTTACTCCACGGAAAGAGACAGATGCTGTGGGCTTGGGTAGCTTCATGGACGGGGGACTGCGGAAATGTGCACAGAGGTGGGTGCTTGTGTCTGCGAAAACACTGCCTATGTGTGAGCGGCATGAGGGGCCGTGTGTGTGTGTGTGTGTGTGTGTGTGTGTGTGCGCGCGTGCGCGTGTGCATGCGCGCACACACCCGCTCGTGAGTACTGCTGCAGAGGTGTATACACCACGCGACTGTGGACAAGACCTGTGCGTATCTGTGCCTGTGAGTAACGTACCCGGGGCACGGCCTACATGTGGCTGCACAGTCGAACTGTGTACACGTGTCCATGGGTCACTGTGAGCACAGGACACGGCACTGCAGTCACACTGGCCCTTGGCCACGCATGGGTGCAGACGGGGCCGGCTGTGTGTGCGCGTGAGGAGGCAGTCACACTTGGGCTCAGCGTGTGGGGAGGACAAACCTTCGTCCTGCTGTGTGACTCCAGGCCCACTTCTTCCTGGCCGGCCCAGGCTTCCAGCAGCGCTGCTCCCTCCCTTCTGGCTTTAGGGTAGCCTTTGCTTTAGATCTGGCCTGTTGCCCTTTCTGGAGCTTGGCCTTCTGCCCTGCAGGATAAGCCAGGTTCCCCCTGGCCAGCACTGAGCCTGTGGCCACCCAAGAGTCCGGGCTTCCTGCTGCCTCCGGCACCGACATGTGAGCGCACTGTCATTTGGAAACTAATGGGGGTGGGCGGCACCTCTGCGTTCCAGGCAGGCCAGGACTCACGGCAGACCCTCTCGGGGATGACAAGTTGGTTCTAGCTGTGTCATCACAAGGAGCACATCTGGGGCAGGGGACACTGGTCACCCACCGGCCCAGGGTGAGGGTGCTGCGGATGCTTCTGGGAGCATTCACCAACCTCCTGTCCCTCACCCCTCAAGTTCTTGGATGTCGGGAAGGCTCTAGGCCAGCCAAGGTCTCGGCTCCAGCATTAGCCTGCAGCCACGGCCTCCCTGGAACCCTCTTGATTCAGTTCCAGAGGCCAGTGCTCCTGGCAGGGCCTAGCTCTTATCAGCGCAGGCTGGGCCTGTGCCCTGGTGCCAGGCTGGGTCTGGCTTCCCGGTCAGGTCTGGCTGGGGCCGCCCTTCCTGGTTTGAGTGCAGCTGGCTGAAGGAGGATGGCTGTGGGTGGCCCTTGCTTACTCAAGCGGCTGACAGGACAGAGCAGGATTCTCAAAGGGACAGAGGTGCCCTGGGTCCCTTTGATCTGCAGGGTCCAGGGCAAAAGGTACCCTACCTGAAAGACCCGAAGTCCCCCCTCTTCCCTGTCCTCAGGACTGCCTTCCTTTCCGTGGGATCCACGATTGTGTCCTAAGACCCATGACCCCCAACCCAGGACATGAGTGAGCTAGAGCCCGGCGCCACCCCAATTCCCAAGCAAGGCCCCTTCCCCAGGCCCAGGGGCAGCCGCTGAGAGGGAAGCCTGGCTGCGTGTCTAGCTGAGTCCAGAGGCCCCAGGCAGAGCGGGAGAGAGCAGAGGGAGGTGTTAGTAGGGACGGGCAGCAGTGGCAGGGCCAAGAAGCAGGTGGCCACGGTCACCTCGGCTGTGCTGCCTGTTGACCATTCCGCCCAGGGTCCACCGGCGATCCAGGCGCCGCTGATAGGCCTTGCGTCTCTTGGACACTGGCGGGGAGATGGTGATGGTGCACGCAGCCGACGCAAACCGGCGGAAAGAATGGAGATGAAGATGAGAGGAGGGGCGGGGTGGAGGGGAGGCGGCGATGGGGAGGGAGCGGTCCGCACTCCTGGCGGCCAGCCCTCGCGCTGCGCCGAGTGGCACCTCCAGCGGGCACAGATAGTTGGCGTGTGGGAAAAACTCAAACCTGAGCTTATGGCCCTCCATCTACGAGTGAACTAAAGAATTCAGGGTCTCAGCACCTTACGCACAGGAAGGTTCCTCACGCCAGCCCTAACCCTGGCTGCAGCCTGCAGGACTGCAGAGGTCACCATTTCCCCAGCTCCTGGACGGTGCCCGTTCTCAGGAGTGCCGGGGTCCCACGGCAGTCAAGTTGGCATCCACTCACTCATGAGCGTGAACTTGCCACCGTGGGCCGGGCATCTCATGGGGAAGGGTACGTGTGTCCAGGAGAGCCCAGGGCCCCTTCCCTGCAGGCTCAGAACTCCCCCCTGGGCTTGCTTACAGCTTTGCTTTCTCATCCATCCCCCCTGGGCAGTGCCATCTGGGGGGACCAGGACTCGGCCTGGTGTCTGTGTATCCTAGAGCCCGGCCCCGGCCAAGGACAGGGTCGCTGAATGAGATGCACAGACGGATGGCACAGCCCCACTGTGCTGCTTCCTGCCATTTCTGACAGCAGAGACCATGCCTCTCAGTGCTGGAGACCCCCTTGCTTTGCCTGTGCTCCCTGGGCAGACCCTGCCCTGGTCCTCTGGTTGCCATAAGCCCCTACGTGGCCCTGTGCCTGGATGCCAGCTTGAGATGCCCTGCTATCCTATAGGACGCTGAACACCGTGATGCTAGCTGGGCACCATAGCAGGAGGTTGCCCAGCTCCCCAGGCCTGGAAGAGGGAGAGGCTTGTGGTTAAAATGAAAAGTGAAACTGTCCAGACACACTTGGACCAACCCCACAAAGCCTCCTGGGAAGTGTCTGCTCTCCCTGAGAGGACAGTGGCCCACGTGACCTGCCCAGTCTGAGCAGGCGGCCTGGACAACAGGCCAGGAGGTGTGATTCTAGTCCAGCCCGCTGTCAGCAAACTGTTACCCTGTGAGGCCTGTGATCTCATCTGTCACAGGGTGACACTTCCTTCCCTGGTGTGGGCCAAGACAAGGGGCTGAAAGGATGTGAGGACACTAATCAGGTCCTGGGCGAGGCCTCCCAGGTGGGGCTGGCTATCAGGGCTAACACAGCTTCTCTGTAAAGACAGAAGGTGTGGCTGACGTTGGGACCAGGGGCCACTGTCACCGTCACAGTAACTGACCTTTACTCCCTGCATGCTTGGTTCAGTGTGAACCACTTACAGTCATCTCCCCTAGCTTCCTGAGAAGCCTATGTGGCTGGCCCTAGCCCCACCTCACGAACAGGAAACAGAGGCCCAGGGGTGCCAAGGAACCTCTGACTCACACCTACCACAGGGCTGCAGATGTGCAGAGTGGTGGCCATAGCCTTGGGTCTGGGCCCAGCCCTGAGCGCTTCTGCGCATCCGGAGGAGAGGCCTAAGCAGTGGTGCTAGAATCCACAGCTCGCCACATGCCGCCACGGATGCTGGCACGCAGGTCCCCTTGAAGGGGCACCCTGGGGAATGGGCACACACCTCGGAGCCCAGAACTTCGCACCGGCTCTGTCCGATTTGTACTCTACGGCAGTCAAGAGCAAGAACCTTGCTTCTGCTCATACCTCTCAGCTTCAGGGCCCAGGCCTCCACCATGCGCCTGACCCCCATGCCCTGTCCTTCCTGGCGCAGCCTTTGCAGCCACACATGGGGCCCCGAGTGACCCTTCTCGCTGATGGGCAGGCGCTGTGGTCCGAGGGGAAGGCCCAGGGCCCAAACCTGAGGAGGACAAGCACTACCTGTCTGGAAGCCTCAGGCCCCGCTGCTGGAAGTGTGGGGACAAAAGCGGTGTCCTCTCAGGGGGGTGGAGAGGGCATCGAAAGCCCTGGCCCAGCTCCGGGGCCTCTGAATGCGGACTCGGGCAGATGAGGCCTCGGGACTCTGGGGAAACTGGAGCAGGCTGGCTCAGGGCCATAGTTTTCCACCTCAGCAGGGCATGGTGGGAACAGAGCAGGACTGGGATGTGGCCCTGTCTGGGGCTCAGGGAGACACTCGAGCCCTTCCACTGACGCTGTCCTTGAGACCTGTCACAGGTAGTGACACTGCAGAGGCCTGGTGTGGACCAGGGGCTGAAATAAAGCACTGACCCAGAAGGAAGGGCGGGGCCTGGCCGCTAGTCTAGGAGCTAGCACTTGATAAGCTGCTTATTTTGGACTGGGCAGCAGGAGGGGGTGGAGGCACAGCCTGGAGAGGCCTGAGCCCTGGTGGCAGGCCTCCATCCGGCTGTGTCTCAGACATGCCCACCTGGACTGTCCCCACTGGCCTTTAGGGGAGGAGCCCTGCTGCCAGGCCACGGGAGGTTTGGAAGGCCTTAGGAGCACGCAGCCGGGAATCTGTGTGGCTCGGCTTCCCGGGCTTGGGCAGCCTGCACTGGGGTTGGGTCTACAGACAGGCTGCCAAGGCCAGTGCTAGCCTGGGGAGAAGGACCCAGGAGCACCTCACAGAGCCAGAGCTACATGGAGGCCAGTAACTGTGTAGGGCCTGGGCCAATCTCCGGCCCTGAGACCTGGCCAAGGGCCCCAGTGGCTAGGCTGGTGGCCCCCCAGGACACGGGCTTCTGAGCCACCAGGACACACAGCAGAGTTGGGCGTACATAGCCTCTTGGGGTCACCCTTACTGTGGGAAGCCCGGTGTGGGCTGGGGGCAAAGGTGGTCTCTGTGGGTCCCTGAGAAGAGCCCTGACTTCTGGGGAGGGGTGTTCTGGGGTCCAGTCCTGAGACTGTTTTCCCCGCCCTCTGCCCTGAAGTCGCCAAAGCCCAAGCTCCACACCTCAAGAGAATTTCCTGTTATCAGCCCCGTCCTGGAGCCAGCAAGGATGGGCGTGGGGTGGAGGGTAGGGGGCTTGTGGGTCAGCCTCAGTGGGGTGGGGTCCCACAGGAAGGAGCCTAGGGATGGCCCAGCTCACTCTGGAGATTCAGGTGGTTTTAGAGCAGAGGGGGAGAGCTGCCTCCGGAAGGGGCTGAGCCCACCCCAGCTTTACTCCCCCGCCCCCACCCTCACCCCCACCCCACAGGCCCTTACCTTCCCCGGCCTTGGAGGTGTTGATGTCTGAGTCATCCCGAGTGCCATTCTGGGCCTCCAGGTAGGTGGCAGGAACCCAGCCCTGCTCCTCAGAGGTGCTCACGAACCACCAGCCTGCGGAGGGGACAAGGGAAAACAGGCCGTAAGAGGCTGCAGGGTGGTGGAGGACAAGGGGGCAAGCAGTGGCCCGAGGGCAGAGTATGGAGCCACGCCTCGTGGACACCTGGCAAACACCTGGCTCGTGGCCAGCCTTGAAGAGCCTATGTCCGGTCTCAGCCAGAAAAGGCAAACACATTCCCAAGAAGAGGGCCTCACAGACTGCCCTTCCTTACACAGGTCCGATGAAAAAATGAAGTGGAAGTAACGGCCTGTCCTTGGTGTGAAAGGCCAGGCACATTCTGTGTGTGCACAGACCACGCAGGGCCCTTCAGCCCACGAGGACCTCTAGTGTGGCCGCTTTGGCTGTCACAGGCACCCAGGCGGGAGCCTCACAGGTCTTCTCCGGCGCCCTGGCACAGGTCAGCAGTCCCCTTCAGCCACTCCCTGCTGCCCGTGCAGGGTGGTACCATTTCAATAAAAGTAAGTGGACACTTTGTCTTTGCGTGACCCTTGCAGGGATGTCAGGGCAGCAGGTACCTGCCCCCACTCAGCTTCTGGGTGGAGACACTGGTTCCAAGTGGCTTATAATCCTAAGAAATGACAAGGTCAGCATGTGCATTAAGCACCCTTCAGGGCTAGCGGTATCAGGGCTCACTCTGGGGCCAAGGTCAGGCTGGAGGAGGTGGTCCTAGGCCCTCAGGAGCTTCCACCTGACCTCTGTCTGCTTCTTGGACGCTTTGGCATTCGTATTAACAGAAGAGCCCATTCCTGACACTGCCAGCTGCTGAGCAGGAGGCTGCTTACTGACACGGTCGAAGAAGGTCTTGCTGTCCACCTCTCTTGAACCAGGAGGACCCTGAGTGCCACAAGCTGGGCAAGGAGTGCTGGGCTCTTTCTGTGATGGCATGCATGGCGGTTTCTCTGTCATTCTTTGTGGAGATGGCCAGCAAAAGCAGACGCCTAGGCTGCCGAGGAAAGGACAGCCTAGGAGTAGTGGAAGGTGGCAGGGAGCACTTCGGCTGCTCCTCAGCACTCAGCCTGGGGAGAAACCCCCACCAGCCAGACTCAGGTTAGGAAGATACTACTCAGGCTGCGTGGGCCCCCTTTATCCCTTCCTCTGACCCGCAGCCTTTGCACCCTCGGAGCCTGTCATGCGTGGGGCCACTGGGAGGGTGGATGAGCTCATCTCCCTGAAGTCCAGGCCCCTGGCCTTGGTTGCTCAGTGGCTGTGGCTGAAGGGGCCCCCAAGGCAGCCAGAGGGCAGTGGACTTTGCAAGGGTCCTCCTTGGGATGTCTCCTCCCTCAGCCTCTGGGGGAGCACTCTCAGGAACCCTGGCAGCCCCTGCCGGGAAGTACCGTCCCAGCTCCTCTCCACAGACCACGCTGGACTCATGGCACAGAATGTGCCACCTCACTGGGCCTGCACTACCGGACCCAGCCTCCTGGAGCACAGAAGTGGGCACACCTAGCCAATGTCTCTCACCAGGCCTGTCACTTTTCTGGATGCTGTGATCCTCCAGGGACAGGTCTGTGACCAAGAAAGGCCATTCAAGGGTTTTTCCAGGAACCAACGCGGGTGCCTCGATGACCTGAGTCCCGAGTCCCACATAAGGCAGTGGAGACACAGGCCTGAGAGCTAAGTCAAAAAGCAGCAGGGAAGACGCGAGGTGGGGATGAGCCGGTCCTGACACCTAGGCGCGCCTAGTCGTAAAGCCAGAGGCCCTCGCTGGACTTCTGTGTTGCTGTTTAGTTGAACAGGAGCTGGGATTCGATCATTTGGAATAAGAGCCCTCACTCATCAGCCTTAACCAGTCATCATCAAGCACAATGACTGAAGCCCCCACGCGAGACAAGTCTGGAGCGCAAACGGTCGTCAAGCACTGGGCACCGAGCCCTCTCAGTCCTTCTGCGGTCAATCACCAGGAGAACCCCCCAAGCCCCAAAGATCAGTAGCCAGAGTTCCCAACCTGGGATCACGGGTAGGAGGTGCCTGGGAGCTGAGGCTCTCACAGGGTTCCCCGGAGCCAGGTTCTAATGCCAGCTTGCCAGCGGCTCCCTCATCTTCAGATTCTCATTCTCTCTTTGGTTCTTGAGGCAGGGTTTCCCTATGCAGTCCAGGCTGGGCTTGAGCTCACTATGGAGCCCAGGCTGGCCTCAAATTTGCTACGATCCTCCTGCCTCAGCCTCCCGAGTGCTGGGATTACAGGTGTGTGTCACCACACCTGGTGCTCAACTGCAGATTCTTTCCAAAGTCACCACCCGAGGCCCATGCCCCTGAGCCAAGCCAAGGTCTGGTAGGTCATGGAAGTGTCCAGAAGGTCTGGCCTCACATGGGAGCCTTTCTTCCCAGGAGCAGGTTTCCCCAGGGTGGGCCTGGGCTGGGGCTGGGGATTTCACTGTCACTGGACACAATGAGATGTGCTTCGAGGAACAGCACAGCTTGGAAGCATAGGTCTTGCTGAGTGTGAGCCAAGATCCCTTCACAGAGAGCTGCTTTTTCTACACCAAAGCATGTCCACCACTCACAGCACCCTCCCTCCCTTTCCGTGTGTGAGCCCAAGGCTGGATGGCTATCTCTACTTGGACTTGGGCTCAAAGTTCTGCTCAGCAGAAGCGAAGCAGGCAAGCCCTCTCTGTGGGCACAAAAGGCTTTAGAGGCGGCCGGGGAAGATGCCCCCTTTGTGTGAGACTGTGAGGAATCGAGCCCTGCTTTCCCGAGGGATTTTCTCTTCCAGTCTTATCCAGACTCGGTGTTCTGACTGCTGGGAGCAAGTCCCCGTGTCTGCTGTCCTCTTGCTGCCATCCTCTCCCTTCTGCACTGACCTTCTTGTCTGGAGAGCCTCAGGGTCCCAGGACTTGGGCGCCTTCTCCGCTGACGCACCAGGGCAGTCCGAGTCCTTTCTTCTTCAGTATCTGTTGTGCCCTGAGCTTCTGAGGCACCTGGCCACATGGCCTGCTGGCAGTGAGCATCTCTCTCCCTGGCACAACAGCTTAGAAGCCCATCCCTCTGGTGTGGCCCAGAACCTGGGCCTGAGATGGCCACTGTCCTCATGGCCTCATGGGCTCTCCCAGCCCTGCTGGGGAACACAAGCTGCGGCTTCCACTCCAGCCCCAACACCTGCAGAGCTGGACTACGCAGTGTCCAGTCTCAGGTCCCCTCTGGCACCAGAGAGATGATGGCTGTAGAAAAGCCTGCCACCAGCTTGGCTGTGGGCACCTCTGCTGAGCTGAGGGTGCTGGTGGGCATGGACAGGTGGGCATGGGAGGTGCCCAGCCTGGCTCCATGCAGACCTCCCAGGATTCCTGGCATGAGGCACGGTTGGGCTTCCTGGAAAGACTCCTGGGCCTGCTCTCACCACGGCTGCTGACAGGGTTCGCCCAGAAGCCAGTGGCTCAGATGTCAATTGCAGCGACCTGGGCTCCTGACCAAAGTCACCGCTCCCCTGAGGAGCACACAGACCCGAAGCCCTGCGTGTGGCTTAGCTGGCCAAGGGGACCCATGGGGTTTCCAGGCCCCCCTCCACTGCACACCTTTGCTCCTGAGTCTGGTGCATCCAGGTGTGCTGGGTTTGGGGGCGGGCAGGCGAATGTGTCCGCGTAGGGTGGAGGTGAGCTGCGTGTGTGTACACATCTATGTGTGGATGGGCACGCGTGAGTGGGAAGGAGGCTCTGTGCATGCGCACGTATCACATGCAGTACACCAGGAAGGGTGCCACGTCAGGCTCTCAGCTTGACGTATATCACTTTATTCACTCCAAGGATCTCAGGAAATGACGTCACTGTTACCATTCCTCCCACTTCCCACTTCCCAGATGAAAAAGGCTCCTCTAGATCCATCTTGGCCACTGCCGAAGCAACGTGGTGTATGTCTGTTGCATGCATGAGGGTAAAGGTGACTCCTTGGAGATGCATGTCCTTGAATGTCTGCGTGTCGATGCCGATGCCTCTGAGCACATGTATGTGTGTGCATGCTACAAGCGGAGGTGCTGTGTGCTGATGCGTACAGGTAACAGAGCCCTGGGCGTGTGTGGGCACCGCACAGGCAGGTAAACCCCTAGGAGTCGGCGATGAGGGCCTGTGACGTCTTGGCGAGCTGCTGGGGCTGTGTGTGCGTGGACTTGGACCTGTGCAGCTGCAGGAGAATGCAAGCTCTGTCCCACAAGCAGACTTGCTCTTTCCTCAAAGCATGGTGGGAAGTGGGGTTGGAGAGGAGTTATCTCTAGACATTTTCCTTGCACAAAATGTCCCAGGGCCACCCTTGAATGTGGAGAGGAGGCAGGACGGAAGCCAGACCAACTGACCCTGTGAAGTCCAGCATGCAGCCCACCACCGCGTTTGGTTCTCCCCCAGCTGGCTGGGCTGGGAAGCATCCAGTGCCAGCCCCATGGCTTGCAGCTGCTTTGATCTCTGAGAATCAGTCTTCTGGTGACCATCAGCACCAGGTCTGCTTTGTCTTCAGGGCAGAACTGAGCTTGTGGCTGGTAGCCTGGCAGGGGAGGAAACTGAGGCACAATGCTCAAGTTCAGGATCCGAAGATGTTTGTCTCAACCCTCCCGCTGCCACTTCCCTGTGCTGTGGCCTCAGGAAAGTGCCTTAACCTTTCTGAGCCTCAGCTTCCTCATCTATGAAGTGGAATGAGGGCAAAGGTGCCGTGCAGGATGGTGTGGGGATCAGATGGGATGCGAAATGACACGCAGGTCTGCACAGCAGCTGTGTGCTTCACTGAAGGCAGGACCACAGCCACACAGGAGCAGCCTGGCCACCTCCTGCATGTCTATGCTCCCATCTGGCCCTGCTAGCCTTCCTCCTCCATCCTGCGGGCCTCCTTTCCTGGGGAAGAGACCCACGCCCCTGGACTGAGGAAGTGGCCACGCCTCTATCTATGCGGACAGCTGTTCCCCGGTGGGCAGCACACCTGGTGTCTTCCCGAGGTGTCAGCTGGCTTCTAGGGGGGAAGGGAGCAGGCTGGGGACGAGACAGTGAAGCTGGCGGCAGCCCAAAGGGTGCAGGCTGGC